TGGCAGTAGATTTATGCCCAGGTTTCTGAGTGTAAATGGATTTTTGGAGGTAGACATTTCTCCATTGTGATCTCAATTTGGGAGGTACAATGTTCTAAATCCCTCTAACCAGAGGTTCTGGGAATTAAACAGCTCTTATAATTTAGACAAATGTTATGGCCGAAGTTACTCCGTGTGGAAATGACTGATTGTTTTTGAAATTCATACACACGAGAGCCAAGATAATGTGAGTGCACCTGAGCATATGAGGGAAATGAAGAAGAAAAAATAGCAATAGCACTTAGACTTATATACCGCTTCACAGTGCTTGAGAGCCCCCTCTAAGCCAGTGGTTCTCAACCTTTTTAATGCCGCGACCCCACCCGGTCGTAAGTCGAGGACTAAACCCGGTCGTAAGTCGAGGACTAAACCGGTCGTAAGTCGAGGACTAAACCGGTCGTAACTCGAGGACTACGCAACCGGTCATAAGTCGAGGACTTTCCCTGCCCAGGAGCGCCGCACATGCGTGGTTCCGCCCCTTGCGCCAGCCGAGGCGTAGCTAGCAAGCGGCAGAGACGGAGCAGGCCAACCACCAACTGGCCCAGCCCAAGGGAGGTAAGGCATCCGCCGGAAAAGGGAAAAAAAATGGCGGACAAAAAAAAATGGCGGACAGCCTTGCTTGGCGACCCCCATGAAATGGTCGATCGACCCCAAATGGGGTCCCGACCCACAGGTTGAGAACCACTGCTCTAAGCGGTTTACGGAGTCAGCATATTTGTCTCCAACATTCTGGGTCATTTTACCGACCTCGGAAGGATGGAAGGCTGAGTCGACCTTATGCTGGTCAGGATCAGACTGCCGAATTGCTGGCAGCCAGCAGTCAGCAGAAGTAGCTTCTTTTAATTAATTCTTTAAATTAAAAGTTTCATGTTTAAAATATTTTTCTTTAAAAAAAAGCTACTACATGATCAGCTCTTCCAACTAGAATAAAAAAATAAAAACACCGATTTAGAATATTGCCTTTTTTTTAAAAAAAAATTTTTTTAATTAAAATTGTATTTGTAAAATGCCCATTTTTGTTCTGTTATCACGGAGGCAATGATTATTTTTTTTCCAAAATATTTCTTCCCCAAAGTTCATGCTAAAAATGAGAGAACACTTACTTTAAAATTCTTTAAAGCGTTTAAAGACGTCTTTGAGCTGCATCATTCAAAGCACTTCTTGAAAAACAGGGTTGTTTTTTTTTTCCTCCCCAGGAAGATGAAAAATACTTGTCAATTACTTAATACAAATGGATTTATAATTGGTCACGTACAAAGGGACATTGTAAGAAACTGTTAGGAGGAGAGAGAGATGAGAGTTTTTACTGTACCCTGGTGAAACCTGACCTGATAGAACAGTGGTGGCGAACCTATGGCACGGGTGCCAGAGGCGACATTCAGAGCCTTCTCTCTCTGTGGGCACGCGCGCCGTCGCCCCAGTCCTAGGCCTTCAGCTGGGTTTTATAAAACCTTTTCGCTTTAGGCCTCCGCCGCCGTGTGCAAAAAAAAAAAAAAAAGGTTCAATCAGTCAATTTCAACTTCTCGCAGGAAAAAAAAAAGATCTTGCAAAGTTGGAATTGATTGATTGAACTTTTTAGTCCCACCCAGTCTGCCGTTACCACCGCAGCCACGCCCACCCAATGGGTCACGCCCATCCAATGGGCCACGCCCACCCAATGGGCCACACCCAGCCAATGGGCCATACCCACCCGGCACTCAACGATGCATATGCGGGTTTTGGGTTGCAGTTTGGGCACTCAGTCTCTAAAAGGTTCGCCATCACTGTGATAGAAGATTGTCCGAAGTTCAGTAAAAAGGGTAGGATTTGTCTCTGCTTGGCTCTAAAAAAACACACACCTTAAGAATCTGTACACCTTTGAGGTCATTGTTTTAACAGCGTTCACCTCCCTTGCCCCCAAACTCTACCTCGAGGGCGACCGCCAAGGACTCCAGGTGGCAGAATTGGTCAGTATTATTTTTCGTGCTGGCTCTCGTAACTCATGCATTTTGAAAAACAAATTTCCAACTCTTAAATCCACATAAGATAACCCACCCCGGAATTGGTTCCGGGGACCCCGTTTTAAAGCTTTAGTGTGCCCCACCCCTGGCGAATCACCGACTGATCTGTCTGAACCGCTTCTTCAACCATAAGGACTAGGAGTCCGGGATGCTGTTGAACCTTTGCTCTTTGGATTCCAAAGACGTGTACTTGTCAATCATCTGTGTTTTCTGCCGGAAGTGGATGACCGGCTTTTTCTGAAAGACCCCAAAGTTTTCTTGGTTCTTTTTGTTGTAAATATTGACCCGGTGCTCCAGTTCGGGGCTGGCTGTGGCCGACCCCGCTGGGCTCGGCAGTTTAAGGTTAACCGGGTCCAGTCCCTTTTGGGTTAAGCAGGAGTCTTCTGATAAGGAGGACAACAGTTCTTGGACAACGGCATTGTGGACCCTGCGATGGGGCGAAGAAGAGCTGACCTGAACGTCTTGGGCTACCTGACAGGCCCGCTTCAAGGGGCAATACTCAGAGGATTCCTCCCGCGTCGTGCTGCAGTCCGTGGAAGAGCCGAAGGTCTGGCTGCTGTCGCTCTGCGCGCGGGTGAAGGAGCTGTCCGTGGACCTGGAGGCGCTGCCGGACGCGGCGCTGGTGGAAATCCCGTTGCTCTCCATGATCTTCATCGGCATTTCCACCATGAAGAGGTCGGAGGAGACGTTAGGTTGGTGGACATCAATGGCTGTGGTGGTGATGACGCAGAAGGCTCCTTCGGGCACACCGCTGTCTGTGTGTAAAGAAGCCAAAGGTTAGGTTGTGTTCAGAGAAGGGCCCTTCTAGGAATGAGGGGATATCCTGAGCTTCCTTAGGACTTTAAACACACACACACACACACACACACATACAAATACGGTTGGAAGATGAGCATTGTTCTAACCTTGGGTTTCTTGGGTATAGAGCAGGGGTAGGCAACCTTGGCTCTTTTATGACGCGTGGACTTCAACTCCCAGAATTCCTGAGCCAGCATGGCTCAGCTTGGAAACCTCTCCATTTCTCCTCAGCATGGCTGGCTCAGGAATTCTGGGAGTTGAAGTCCACGCGTCATAAAAGAGCCAAGGTTGCCTACCCCTGGTATAGAGTTACTTTCTGGAGTCCTTGGTGCCCTCGGAGCTTGGCTGATGGCTTGCAGACGTTTCATAACCTGACTGGGTAACGTCATCAGTACCTGAGGATCAGCATCATCATCTGACCAGCACCATCACCAGTACCATCAAAGTCCTGATGAGGTTACCCAGTTGGATTATAAAACCCCTGCAAGCCAACAACCAAGCCGAGAAAGCACCAAGGACCTCAGTGCAATCCTGAGCTACCAATATTGTCTTCTGGCGGGAGAAGAGAATATTTCTCCCTTCGTTATTGTTTTGTTTGGTTCCCACAAGGAAAGTCTTTTTTTTTT